GTGGCTGTTGCATTCAAAGGGCTGCACGTTGAGTTAGCTGCCCAACTCATACCACCAGGGGTGAAATGGGCTTGACTGTTCTCTGAGAAAATAAGTCCTTTAGTGTTATCGCCTCGCTACACTCCTGTAACTGGATGTATTTCCTAGAATTCAACAAGTGTTATCTCCTCTCCAACCCAGCGGAGTATACCAAGGTTTAGTTTCTTCATTCTAGAAATGCACTAATTGAGTAAAAGGGAAAAGTCACCGACCATTGATCTCATGATAATTAACTTTAAGCAGCCCTGTGGTAAAAACTGTATAATCACCGTTGATTTCTTTCAGCTAATTTCAGTTGTACATCCTTTTGTATAGTTCCTGATGCCAAAGTAGACCGAAAGTGAAGTGAAATATTTCTGTCTATAAAACTTCCAAAATCAATATGCATAATAAGCACATTGGATCTGTGTGTCCCATCAGAGGTCTTATGTTCCTGAGGAAACAGAAATGAAAATTACACTGCTTGGTTATAGAGATAAGATCATTTGTTCTGAAAAAAATTATCCCTGCAGTAAATTAACATTCTCACTTTTCAAGAAAGGAGTTTCTCTATCATCCCGACAGGGAACAAGACCTACATTGGGGGGTCAGGGAATCACTGCTTTTCCATCGGTATGTCATCGAAGCTCCTGCTATTTCCCATCTTCCTGTGCAGTACACATGCGAGTGTTTGCTTTAATGTGTGTGTGATTCATAGAGTTCTGACATGGAGATAGGGCTCCTTAATATGTTTTACAGGCAGCAGCTTATTCAGGAATACTTGCAGCAGTGTCTGATATTGGCTCAGCAGTTGCAAATGGATCTGAAGGAAACCGAGGAAGAAGAAGCAAAACTAGAGGTGCGTAACCTTAGCTTTCTACATAATCTCCCAATCTGAAGTAAGAATGAATAGAGAGAGCCTTTAGGCTTGCAGTAGATACAGGGGTCTCTCTGCCTCTGGTCCATATCAGTGAGGGTCTTTGTCCCTTTTGAAGACACTCAGTTTTACCAAGTGTTGTGTCCTTTTCCAGGGACTGCGCTAAGCCACAAAATTAAGAAAAACAAAAAAGGACTCAGTTCCACTGTGACTTGCTGCTCCAGGTGTTTCATGTGCTCCACCGAGTGGAGTTTCCACTTCCGGGGTGTTGTTTTTTTCTCGGTTTTGTTTGGATGTATAGGTCCAAGTCTTTTTTCCAGGGCACATCTGGTGGACTTTCACTTTTCAGCCAAGCAAGTTAGTATGGAATTCCCGGTCTCCCTAGGTGGAGGATATGCTGCATGGTTTGGACTTCTGATCCAGGTGACAGAAATATGCTACAGTAGGAAACAGAAACCATGATTTTGAGAAAGAATTCCAGGAGACTGTGGCTTAGAACCCAGCTGGATGGGGGTGGGCACAGGTGACTCAGGCAGTACCTTCGCAACCCTGTCTCCATCCCTTAGTGCTTTCTGTCTGTGTGGGAAGCCGGGAAGCCTCTTGCCAGCTTAGCCATGGAAGCAGTGGAGCAGCCCCAGAGGATGAAGGCAGCCCAGTCAACTGCCCTCTGGAAAGGTCTCTGTGTTCTGCCTGGACCATATGCCCCTTTCTGAATGAGTCCCGGTGTTCCGGGCAAGATTAGTGCTGAATGGGAGGATCGGGGTCCTCTGACCATCCTTGGGGGAATGGAAGTTAGCCCATCCCCACCACATACCAGATTGTCCACAGCTCCATGAATTCTCTGATCTTTCATTCCTGAATTGTTTGTCACTTTGCCACACAGCTCTGAACCAAGAGAGCAAAGCTATGGCTCACATTAAGAAAAACAAAATAGGGGCTTTTTTTTCAGCTCAGTTTGGGAAAGCAGAAGTTGAGGTGCTTGTGAAATATCCATGGGGACATATTGAGTGGTCTGCTGGATATGGGAGCTGCATTCAACAGAGCGGGATAAAAACTGGGGAACTGTCGGCATCCTGATAGCATTTCATTCATGACCCTGAATGAACTCACCAGCAGAGTGATAGTGAAAAGTCAAAGAGCTCTGCCGCCATTACCATCAGGGCAATGCCAACCTCATAGTAACCCTATGGGGCTGACTGCCTGGTTAGGTGTCCTGGGCTGTAAATCTTTATGGCCACAGGAAGCCTCATCGTTCTCCCACGATCCCGCCACTTGAGATGGAGAGTACAAGACTGAATATGCTGGTAGATGTGGAGCTGGACAAGTGGGCTTGTCTTTGGGGTGCTTTTATTTAATGATACAAGTAAGATGAAGGTTAATGTATAAGGATCCACCCTGATGTGAACCCACTGCCATCCAGTCTGTTTCCTCTTAGAGAGACTCTGCACAGGACTCCATGGATGCTAATCTTGACAGGAGCCCATGGACTCCCCTCTCCCAAGAAAAGGCTGGTGACTGAACCGCTGAACTTTGTGGTTAGCAGTCCAGCACTTATCTCACAGTGCCCCCAGGGCTTAAGCTAGTGGAGGACAGCTTGCCTTGCAGCACTAAGAGTAGGCCTGAAAGAGTTTTCTCAGTGTGAGCCAGGGCTTGGGAGAGGAATACAATTTCTAATATTAAAATAATTGATTTTAATGTCATTCCTTTTTAAGTTAAATGCAGTGAAGTTTGGTAAATGCTGCCTAACTTATTGCCTCATTTGCGTTGTATATTTCTAGAACATCTTTCAACATCAACAAAAATTTATAAAGCAAGCCCGAAGTCTTCTGAACTATGTACAGCAAATAATTGAAAAGCTTTACCAGCAGTCCCAAAAGGTCTGTCTTATTCCCTAGCAGGGATTTCTTTTAATTCATGGGTGCAAACATTCTCTTTGTGTATCTTAAGTTCTTCACCACTGTCCATTTTTAATTGTTCCTGGTGTCACTTAAGTGTTAAATGCAAGGTCCTTGAACAAACTAACCCCAGGCTTAGGCCTCCTTGACCCCCTTCCTGCGTGACTGCACCCCTCAGAATTGCCTCCATGGCAGTGAATTCTCTGCAGGTGACTTGCTCTCTGGGGCTCACTGGGCATGCTCGTCC